TCAGGCATGAGCTCGGCTACGAAGATATCCACCCCGCCTCCTGCAGGTTTAGCGGTTTAGGGTTTCTAGGGCGCTATCGGGGCTTTTGGGCTTCAAAGGGCTTGTGTGTGGGGCTTCGTGATTTCTTGTCTTTTGTGGGGGGGGGCGGGGGGGTTAGGCCTGCGGGGCGTTCCAGGCATGCCATGGTTCTGTTCGAAACGCAAAACCCTCCAGTGTTTAGAGCCCTAAATAGGATCCTGTTCTATAGAGAATCCAAGAATTGCCCCCCCCAGACTTTCAGAAACCCGCACATGATCACTGCTCTATTTTGACCTTTCCCTGTACGAATGCAAACATGCATGTACTAGAAATTCAGACCCATATCCAAAGCTCCGAAAACCTGAAGTACATGGCAGCCTGTGCGAAGACCACCCGATGAAGTCACGGTGCGACGGGAGCGCGAGTCCTTGCAAAGTTGTGCAGCTCCAGGGTTAAGAGCCATTCACAGGCCTTTTCGGCCTCACTCGGTGATTTGGGATCTCGGGGTTCACGGGTCTAGTGCTCCCGGTTTGGGTTTCGCGGATCAGCTTTCAGGGCTGACAATCCCCAGGATCTCGCCAGGAGAAGCCGCAACCACAATGGCAAGAAAGGGCCAGTCCACGTTAGACAAGCAATTCCTGCTATCAGCCATAGTAGCTTAAAACAAGGCACAGCCAAAACAGAAATGAACATGCTTCCAGCGGCCATAATTTCAACAATAGCAACAGCAGTAGTAGTGCCAGCAGAAGTATAGTGATGAAAGCTTATAGCACCACAGGAGCAATTTCAATCGCAGTAATACTGGTGAGAACTCTAATCGCAGCTACAGTCGCCGCAGAGATACTGGCAACAAAGGGCTTGAAAGCTATTCTGGGACGTACGTCCTCTGCGAATGCAACGACCAATACTGTATCTGGGTTTCAAGCGTTGCGCGTTGGAGGGCAGAGACATTGCGGATCCGGGTCTTCCTATACTCTCCTGTTAACCAATTTAAAGGTTAGGGTCCTAGATTGCAAAAGCCAAGTAACACAAAAACGTTCTACAGCGGAGATTATAGAGGTCGGGACCCAAGGCGCGGAAGTAACCCCAAAAACCCTTTTCGCTCGAAACCCGGCAGGCGGCCACGGCGAGTTGCAACTCCAGCCCCTGTGCAAAGAAGAGCTCCTGAGAAGGCTAGATAGGCGCCCCCCCAAAACGCAAGACCTGCCGGAACCCCAAAAAATCCTTGGACCCTCAACAGCTAGGCCGCTAGGCCTGTCAAGCCCTGACCTTTACGGTGAAGCGTAAGAAGGACCAATGACAGCTAGTCCTGCCTCGCCTCGAATGCTTAAACTCTCAACAGGTCAGTTCGGACTCACATGTGTCCTAAATGGAGCTTCCCGCCAAGGTACCTGTCAAAATAACCCCTCGAAAAACGGCCTAGCAGCTTACTACAGGAAGCACCAGAAGGAAAAGGTCGTGGGTTCGCTTGGGTATTGTTACCGGTTTGCTTGGGCATTTGTATCCGTTTTATTCCTAGCTAATCAGAAATCCTGCCGACAAGACAGGGAAACATGTTTGCCGTGGTGCTCTGGAAGCACCTGAAACCAACCGGTCAACGTACTGGAGCTTGTAGAACACTGAATCATGCCGGACAAGGCAAGGAAACCCTTTGGGGCGCTCGTCCACTCACCTTCATTCATTCACGCTTCTTCCAAAGGCCCATTTAAATTCACTAGTTTTATTGGGTGTGGCCTCTTTCGCTGCGCGCACTGGTTCATTCACTTCACCCTGGTTTCTTAACTTGGAAGAAAGTAGGGTCACAAGAAAACATAAGGCTCATTCGAAAAAAATGAAGGACCGGATAGCTCCACATGTGCATTTTTGTGCGGCCCGAGACCTGGTCGCCAGTAAACCCAAGACCCTAAGTCACCCTGTCGGGGGTCCTGCCGAATCTGTGCATCCAGATCTGCGTAGACCTTTGACACGACCTGGTATGGTTTAGGCTTGAGAGATCTTGAGAGCTTAGGGCTTAGGGGCAAGGGCAGAGCGGGGTTCTTTACTACTTGTGGCTTTGGGCTGAGGATTCGAGGGTTCAGGTTCCCCTGAAACACCAAGCTCTACAACCCGAAATCCCCAAAAGCCTCAATCCCAAACCCACGGCCTGAATGCAGGCGGCGCAAGTGAACCCGTCCAGGCCTGAGGCTGGCCAGCAGCAATTAGAATATGGGCTTTGAGGTTTTTGGGGTTAGGGCTTCTGGGTGCTTAGGTTCTAGGGTTGGGAGCTCAAGTCCTTGAAGCCCTCAGCACTGAACCTGGGAGCACAGAAGCCCTGCAAGGTTACCGGGGAGCGTGAACCTCACATCCCGGCCATAGATTTTTCAGGGATTAGGGCCAAGGATTGGGGTCAGGGTTTCTTCAAGAGTTCCCTGCCAAGGTCTAGCAGGGTTCTATAGGCTCCAGGGTATGAAAGGGTTTAAATTGGGGGTTACCAGGGAATAGGTTCCCAAAGACCCCTTTTCGGAACTGTAAGTTTTAGGGTTCCTCTAGCAGTCCTGTTTAGGGATTGTGCTAAGCCTAAACTAATCCCAAAACCCTTAAACCCTCAACCCTGAGCTTGCGAGGCCGATCGTTTGGATTTTGGATCAGAACGGTACAGGGTTTAGGGTTAGAGGTACCGGAAAGTAAGAAAAGAAGCAGCCATCATTACAAGCAAGAAGCAGACATTGTGGACAGTAGTCAGAATAAGGGCAGGAAAAATGACAGCAATAACAGAAAAGAAGAAGAACAACAACAACAAATCACAAAGACAACAACAATAATACTGACAATAACAGAAATAACACGAGCAATAGCCCATGCATCCTTTCGACATCCGATGCCCTTAACGCCAGGGCTGAGCTTAGCGGGTTTACGCCTGAACACCCTTGAAGCCCAAAACCATAAACCCCTAAAACCTTCGGTGCTGAACCCCAAATCATCGCCCCCAACACCCGAACCCTCAAATGAGACTGCCTGGCTTGTTGTGGGAGTTGGCCCATGCCCCGGCCACGCATGTCATGGTCTCCTCATTCGGCCAGGCTCGTTTGGGGTTTTGGGGCTTTAGGGGTTAGGGTATAGTATTGGGCTTTTTGGGCTTCTAGGGTTTAGGCATTTAGGCTTTAGGGGTTACAAGGCTACCCCTGTATTGTGCACCCAAGGTTAAAGGTCACAAACTCAGCTGCTACTGTTGGGCGTTAGGGATCTAGGATGAAGCGCTTTAGGATTTAGTGCTTGGCGCTTCGGGGTTCAAGGTTCTGGGCTGCAGAGGTTTGGGCTTCGGCGCTCTAAGGTTTAAGGGCGTATGGAGGCAGCCAGGCAGCTTAGGGTTCAGGAGCGAGGTTAGGCTGATGTGGGGTTTGGAGTCCAGGGCTGCAGGGCTTGGGTTAAGCGTAAGGTTCAAAAGGTCCAGGGCTCTAAGCCCTGAAACCCCGAACCACGAAACCCTAAAGTCCATCTCTGAAACTCGACCCTAGCATGAACGAAGAAACCCCCTCGATCCCCAATCCCCAGTCTGTGGATCCACGGGCTCTAGAGCTTTAGGGTTTCAGGCTTTAGGGCTCAGGGGGAAGCCCTATACCTCAAACCGATCGTTCCGAGCCTTCATTGCGGCTCGAGGGGCTGTGCTGTGGGACCCGGTGGCGAATCTTTCGGACCAGCCTCGAATTTCGAGGTTGAAGTCTGTGGGCTTGGGTGTAGGGTTTAGGGTTTATGTAGGCTTTGTAGGGTATGGGTTTTAGAGTTTAGGTGTTGAAGGACAGGGCTTTGTTTTGGGATAAGGGGTTGGGTCGAGGGCTCAGGGCTTAGGAGGTTCCTTATGGTGATGCACACCGACACATGAACTGACATCGATGAAACTTTTCGTAGTGAGAGGAGGAGTCCCTAGGAAGCCGCAACCCTAAATCGCAAAAACCCTAAACTCCAAACTGCAGAAGCCTGAAATCCAAACCCTAACCCCCAAGAACCTAAAACGCGAACCCTATACCCGTACGGCCCGCCAAAAGTAACGGTATCTAAGACCCCAACGACCTTCGCAAGATAAGCGACGCGGTGGATCAATCCTAGAGCCAGAAACTTCCAAATAGCACCATAGGTTAGGATTCCTTGAAGGCTCCCTGTAAGGGTTCCAAGAAACAACCTGTATCCGAGGTGTATCGAAACTCCCCAGACGCGTGCATGAGGGTGTGCTGTTGGCGTGTGGCCAAGGATTCGGATCATGCAGCTTGGGACTCTCTGCCAAGGGGTTCAAGGCGGCCCAGGGTTTAAGGTTTGGGGTTCAGGGTCTGAAGTCTAGTGCTTAGGGTTTGGGGTTTCTTGGCACCCGCATAGCTGGACGAACGACTGGGATTCTGACGCTAACACGAGTTTTAGGGTTCAGAATTTAGGGTGCAGGGCCTCAAAAGCCCGCAACCCAGAGGCCTCTCCGGAGGCGTCTAGTTTTCAGGCTCTAGCATTTGTAGCATTTGGGAGTCTCGAAAATACAGGACCCTAGCGCAAACCCTGAACTCCTGAGTAGTAGAATACCCTGAAACCTACCATCCTAAACCCTTGTTCTAACCCCAAACGAACGAAAACCGAAACCCAAAACCCAACAAGCCCAAATCCAAAAAAAACAGAAACTGTAAACCCTATGACCACAGCCCAGACCCGCAAAAGAGCTGGGCCGCAGGAAGCGCGGAGGCTTTGCCCATGCCGGAATTGGGTCGGCAACGGCGTCTTCTTCAGCGCCTTAGCCAAAAGGTTTTGGCTTTAGGGCTTTAGGGCTTAGGATTGAAGACATCATTCTAATTGTGATGGACTATTCCTCGAGCCGCCCTGTCCTTAGGGTGCAGGGTTCAGGGTTTATAAGGATAATTTAGGGCTTATGACGCGGCTTGTGGTTCGGATCTACGCTTGAGGATTCAGGGTCTCTATAGGACGTCGGACATAAAGTTTCGGGCCGAGGTCGTGCTTCGATGATGGTCGGCCTTTGACCCAATAGAGGATTCAAAGTAGGGTGTGTCGGGGTTCTATGGGGATTCGTGGCGCTCTTACAAGCTGCGCCGTGAAAGTTGGAGCAGCAAGAACACAAAAGAGTCAAAAAGCAGTCCCAAAATAGTACATGTCTGCATGCATATACTGCAACAAACGCGATATGGCCCCATAGAACCAAAAAAGCTTTTGGAACCTTCGGGCGATTTAGTGCCCGGAGGTCTCTGAAGATTGTCGCTTTTTGCTTCTTTGGTACAGAACAGGGTTTTTGCAAGTTTTTCCTTTATACATTTGTTTGTTAGGACAGTGCAACACTTTGAGGCCTCAGACTGCAAAACGCTGTGCTGTCCCAAAATACCTTGTTAACAAAAAATAAGCAAAAACAAATGGTGTACTGTCGCCAGGCCAAGTGCACCTAGGAAAACAAAGCCGAGCCAAGCCGCACTAGGTTTGGATTGTTGGGGGTTTAGGGGCTCTAGGGTTTCGACCAGGTTGCTGACACAAGGGGTAGGGTTCCATATCTTGTGCAAACTCGGCACGACTCCCGGCTCGAACTGCCATTTGTGGTTCCCCTGATCTGGGCATGTGCCGGTGAAGACATTGCCGGTATGGACATTGTATTCCTCAGCTGTTTTCGATCAGCCCTAAGCAAGCCCGACTTTGCTGCAGGCGCCTTAACATGAAGCATGGCATCCCAAACCAAGGCAGCCGACTGATAAAGTTCTACAGGGGCCTGCATGGTTGGGGGCTTTTATACCATACTTGTGTTCGGGAAACTTCTGAGGAGTAGCATTATACTAGCCCACACCCTAAGCCCTAAACCTCAAACCCAACACCCGGCCCTAACCCCTAAACATGGTGAATAACCACGAAAGCAGACCCAAGCGCGCTCCCAAGAAACCTTCGCGCAAAGCCAGTAATGAGTTTACGTTTACTCCAAGGGCTTTGAAGGTTTTGACAGCTTTTCTGGGGTTTCATTCGGTCTGCGAATAGGGGTAGGCTTTAAGGAGCTTCGTGTCTAGCAACATGTCACTGAGAACGAGTCTCGGTCAGTCGTTAGTCCTAAGTTTCTTGCTCTTAAGCCCCGAACCCTCGACCCTAATCCCGAACCCTAAAATCCCTAGACAAACCGTAAGTCCCAAAATGCCTAAGCCCTCGGCCCTAAACCCTAAACAAACCCTTTTGCTTCCTGTTCCTGGCAAAATCCTGAACCCTAGAACCCTAAGCCCTAAACCATAAACAGACCCTAAACATCCCTAAACCCTGAACGCGCCGCATCTGGAAGCGAACCCTCTCCCTCGAAAACCGAAACCAGCAAAGCAGCAAAGCCCCCCAACCTTAAAAACAAAAACAAAGACTCAAAGAACACTTACACCTCGAGCCAAAACCACTGGAGCTCGAAAACCAAAGGTCCAAAAGCGACAGTCACAAGGGATCTGGACCCCACGTGCCTGATCCTCGTGACTGTCTTCACTTTTGCGGTGCAACACCAAACGAAGGTTCAAAAGTAACGACAGTTACGAGGGATGGCGGGCCCCACGTGCCTCATCCTCACAACTGTCCGTACTTTTGAGGCCTCAACCTCCAAAAGACGAATGACGCATCCTGACTGTGGCTCATGCGCGACACTCGTGAACTCTGTGCGGGCACTTGCGAACACAAAATGCGCGGTGTTGGGTCACCTCCTCCCCTGGAAGCCCAACCTCAAAAACGGGAGACCTTCTGCTATGCATTCGGGAACCAGAAGCAAAAAGGAAGAACAACGACTCAAAGCCAGGGCTCCAGGCACCGGTGGTGGTGCCGGACGCGTATGTGGCCATGATCGAAATAGAACTTCTGGTGGTTGCCGTCGTGACAGTCGTACATGTAGAGGTTTCCTCGGGGTGATTGCAGGGCTCGGGGTTCAGGTGTTAAAAACCCGAAAGCCCGAACCCTAAACGCTAAGCCGCGAAACCCTAGACCAAAATCCCGTAAACATCCGTAAACCCTGCCAGTAGGGTTTGGGGCGTTTGGGGAGCATTGGAGGGCAGGTTGAGGAGGGCATGTCGGGGCTTGCGGTTTGGGTTGCAGCTTTTGGTTGATAGGGTTTGGGGTTTAGGATCCTTTGGGATTTAGGGCCCTAGGGTTGAGGGCTTCGATCACAAACACTCATCTTCAAGTTCGCGAAACTCTTGCTCACCAAGAAAGCTTCCATTTCCGGTGTGCGCATCCAAGCACTTGTTGTCGAGCTCACTTTTGAGGTGTTCGCCGCTGAGGTACCACATGTGCTGAGCCTCAAAAGCAGAAATCGAGCAAATCCAAAACAAAAACGAAACCCTCGACCGGAAGTTCACGGTTTGGGGTTGGAAGTTTCGGGTTTGCAGCACAGGGTTGTCATAGCTTGCAATGGTACACCTTGGCTGCCTATGCTTCGGTTTTCAGAAGGTCATCCTTGCATATTTGAATTTGAAGGCAGGCTTTTCGGCTTCTGTGTTCTGCTGTCACTCTACCGGGTGAGCGTATACTCCGGGTGATGTCACTCTATGACACTGTCACTCTATGACACTCGGGGAGGGGAGGGACATCATCCCATCACAACAATGCTTAGGGTTTAAGGCTTGGTGGTTGATGTTGTACGGTTCACTGCATGGCTTGGGGATCCATGTCGCTCACGTATGCTTTGTCTAGAGAGGGGAGTGGCCACAAGTCAGGGACCCATAGTAGACACACCTCAAAAAGTGGTCCTTGTGGCAGAGGCTCCTCAGAGAGGGATCCCTAATTCTCGAAGTTCCCCCAATCTTTTTGCTTTATGGAGTGCGCGCGTGACAGAAGGAGGGCCTACGATGGCAGCCAAAACGCATTCAATACAGCAGAACAGCTTCGTTCCGGCATCCCTAAACCTTAAACACTGAATCCAGGGTTCAGGATTTGTGTGCGCCTTCGGCCGTCAAACCCTATACCCTGTAACCCTAAAACGATCAACCTCGAAACCGTGGAACCGCGAAGCCTTAACCGGCAAAACCGCTAAACTCTTGGACCAAAGGTTTGGATTCTTGCCACTAAGCTCGTAAACCCCCCGCAGACCCCTTTATAGAAACGAAGATCGTCTCAACACCTTCACCACAGGTGCCTCTTCGCCGCACCCAGTGGCCACCACATTGCCATCGCCTGAGACCCAGGCAGCTCGGGTCGGGGAGCAGGAAGTGGGGTTGAGGTTGAGGGTCGAGGGTTAGGGAGCGTAAGGACAATCGGTAACAGGTTGGGATTTCTTTCTTTACTTCGGATTTCGGGATTTGATTGCGGGGTTCAGGATTCATGGGGCCCAGGGTCTAGCTAGCATCTGTGGTCTCCTCCACTGTCTTCCCGAATGGGATCGTCGCACTCCACCTTTAAGGCTTTCAGCTCAGACGAATCAAACTCCACCAACTTGTGACAAAAGGTTGGGAACTACAGCTCTACAGCTCTGGTTCGGCGACGGAGCACCAGTGAAGTACTTCTTTGGGACTGCCTCTGCTCGGTGTTACACGGTTCATCCCTGATACCCTGAGAATCGAGCACAAGGCATTACCCGAGTTGAGCACCCCCATGCTGTAAGGCATTCGGTCCAAGTCTCCAAGGCGTGCAGGGGTTTGGGTGCTGGGGCCTAGAGGCTACAGGCCTGAATCCTCACCCTAAGGCACCGAGAGGCCGGGGTCCACTGCCAAACAGCGCCCACCGCCCACAGTGAGCTGCACGCTGTTGTGGAGCGTGTCTTTGAAGTACCAGCTTACCGAGCCGGAGTTGGGACCTAGGATTTACTGGGCTTTTAATTGAGGAAGTCAACAAAAATCACTATCATAACTGAACCGCATTCACATTACCTATGCACCTCTTGCTATGGTAACTTAGTACAAGAACCCAATTGTTCGGTTGTAGGATGTCGGGGCTGGGAACTGTTCATGGTTTTGTTGGTGCTGTTTTCTTCACAGCCAACGCAATGCTGAGGATTTGGAGTGAAGAAGCCACTGAAGTTTATGAAGTAGAAGCCGGAAACTTGGAACATCACTATGCCCACGCACTGAAAATAGTCCCAGCGCTAGCTGAACCCGAATATAGAGGACTCTTGTAGCTATGCACACACTGCTAGAAGGATCCTTAATTAAGGACCCTTAAAGAAGGTGCCTGTAACCACAAGAAACCCCCAACCAACTGACCAACTAGCCCTACACCATAAACCCGAAGCCCAACATGTTTGGAGATTATTTTGATCAAGCCAGAAAAAACAAGAAAAAACAACAACAAGTATAACTGATACGTATGTATATATGCACATATGACATATGTATATAAGTTTCTTTATTATTTGTACATGTATAGGCGTATGTATGCAGCAGCACTTCGGGCTCTGTCCCTCGCCGGTTGTTGCATCCCGAAGGTATGTTTCAGGGTAGTTCTGGCGTTTGGGTTTGGTTTGGGGGGGGGGGGGGGGGGGGGGGGGATTACGTCCATTCCTCTGGCGACCCTGCCCAAAACGGTGTTTACAGCGTTTTTGCCAGGATGCTTGACGTGTATGGAACAAGACGCGCAGTTACAAGCGTTATGCCCTGAGAGAAGATGCCCAAAACTCCGATATTTACAGCATTTTCTTTCTCTTTGGATGAACGGTCACAAGCGTTCATGCCTTTGACGAAGATGCCACACCATTGCTGATGTTTGCAGAGTTTTTGCCTCTCAGTACACATTTGTACAACACAAGCACAAGCACGCTGTGCGCCCCGAAACAAGCGTTCAACAAACAAACGTTTTTTTCGGGTGCGATTCGCGTGTCGAAACTATCGCTGTGCGCAGTGTTCTGGCGCACGCGAACACCAATCCCATGGCGGCAGCGGTGAAGTTGAACATACTCAAAACACGTCCCGCGAATGCGGCGGCTCAAAAACCTCGAGTTTTCCACCCAGACTGGCAGAAAGGCCTAGGTGTGGCTTCAGCCTGACGGGTCTGAAAACCCAGTCAGCCTTCCTAACGCCGAACAGCCACAGAGTGAAGATGTCAACTTATCAGGAGAGTTTAGGGGTTTACGGGCTTTGGGCCGTTTAGGGTCCAGGGGCTAGCGCATTAAGCTTAGATTTTAGGCTTAGGGGCGTGGGCGTTTGTAGGGTTCGGGTGCTGAAATGAAACCCTATAAAGCCTAGAACCCTTGACGCTGGATCTGTGCGGAACAAACCCTCAAGAACACGACTGCTCTCGCTCTCAAAACAGGCTGGCTGCTGTAAATCTGACCTAAAGGGTTTAGCTAAACCCCTAAATGCAAGATGGAGGACAGCTGCCAAAGTAGACCCTGCCGTCGCTTCTTCTGACCTCTGGCTTTCATAGGGCAGGGCTTATGGTCAATGTTTCGGCGGCAATGCCCACTCTGGCATAGAAAACCGTACTGGTGTAAAAAAACTGACAAGTGCCCCAGAGTTTGGGACGTCCTGTCCAAAGTCATGGCAGAAACAGGAGCGCATTGAATCCCCCTACGTTGAGCGCCTCAGACCCAACCCCCAAGTCCAACAGCCCCTACAAGCCCCAGAACAACAAACACTCCAAGCCCCAAGACCCCACAAACCCGGCTCGCAACTTCCAAACCCGAAGGCCCAAGCCCTTAGCCGAACCCCAAGACCTCGATCCGGCTCTAAATCCCAGCCTTGCAAACTGGGCTCAGGCTCCAAGGTTGAGGGAGGTTGAGGGTTCGAAGTAGAATCCCAAACCCCTAACGCCCGGCTGTGAGATATTTTGTGCTATGTGAAAGGCAACCTAAGCCTTAAGCTTTAAGCCCTGAAACCCTAACCCAGAAACTCTTAAGCCGGAAATACTCAGTTCTTGAACCCCAACACCCGAAAGCCTAAACTCCAAGTCCTACCAGACCCGAAAGCTCAAAACACATGAGACCAAGAGCTGCTCCTGCAAAGCCCAAGGGCTTGGGGTTTTGGATTCCCTGAACCCTGAACCTCAAACCGGCCTCGGGCTTCGAAATCCCCTGCTTGCTGAGGCGTTTGACTCTTTTAAGCGTTTTGTAGGGAGCTCACAAGGACTTCATAGGTTGTTGCATGGGTTTAGGGTTCGGGTTGTCGGGCTTGGGGGTCTTGAGTCTTGGGCAAACTCCTCAGTTTGCGACGTGCATGGTTTCCTGCGCCCGGGCCTTGAAACCCCGAAACTTTGAAACCCGAAACCCGTAAACCCTGAACCCTGAGTCCTTTTTTGTTAAACCTAAACGCCAACAGTCCTAGACCGACAGGCTAAGTCATCGAAAGGGCTTAGGGCCTGGGCTTAAGCTGTAGAGTCTTTAGGGTTTGTGCTTGGGGCTGATGATCTTTGCTTTCCAGGCTACCCCTAAACCCAGTCTTTGGGGTTTTGTGAACACGTGCGCTAGTCTTATGAGATTTTGAGAGCCGCACACTGGGCAATGACTTGGTTTCAAAACATCTTCGAGAAAAAGTCCGAACTCTTCTTCGAGATCGTTCTCCATTTTGATCAGGTTTGAATCTGAGAAGAATATTCCATACAAATATGTTATCCTCAACTTGTTTTGCTCGCGTCTTTCGTCCAGGAAAAATATTCTTGGAAATTAGCCTCATTGTTTGCTCAACGTTCTCATCTTCAAAAAATCTTCGCAAAATCTCCCAACCATCTTCGAAGAGTTGTCGAGGACGTCACTGCCGAACCAGGATTGTTTAGGAGATATTTCGAGGACGGGCTCGAGGGAGGAAGATTTTCGAGGATTCCTTCGAAGTTTTTTTTTTTTTCGAAATTTTTGTCGATTTTCGAAGATTTTCAGAGATCCCCAAGGGGGTTCCACTGGGGCCTGGTTTCGGGGATTGGCGCAGTGAGAAGATCCGGAAGATTTCACGAGGACGCAAAACGAGGAGGAACATGTTTTTCGATGATTCCGACGATGGTTTTTTGAAACATGGTGAGGATGAAACAACTAGGAGGAAGATTTTTCGATGATTCCAACAAAGGTTGTGTGCTGAGTTTTGGAGAGAGTGTTTTCAAGATTCCAAAGAAGATGGTTGGACGTTTTTTTGCAGGTTTTTGTGAGGGGGAGAATGTTTCGAGGATTGCACAGAAGGTTTTTTGAAGATTGGCAAGGATGAAGAACGAGCAGGAAGATTTTTCGATGATTCCGAAGAAGATTATTTGAGGATCCGGCGAAACAATACAAAATACTTTTGAGTCCCAGTGTGTGGCTGGCTGAACATGACATAACGCTAGTCTTCCGACTTAACCCACCCCAAGACTGCCCAGTTGCGGCTCTCAGGCCTGT